TTATTTTTATTTTGACTCACTTGTATTTCCTAATTTTCCATGTGATTTCTTCTTTGCATCATGAGTTATTGGAAGTTTGTTACTAAATTTCTAAATATTTGGGACTTTTCCAAATATCTATTGGCCTTTCCTCTTCTCCTTTCTCCTTCCCTCTTCTCCTTTCTCCTTCCCTTTTTCCTCTTTTCCTAGTATTTTTTTGTTGCTGTTATTGATTTCTGATTTCATTTATACTCTACAAGAGAAATACTAAGTATGATTTGAGACTTTCCAATTTAGAATTGTTTTGTCGGTCAGCATATGGGCTGTCTTGATGAATGTTCCATATGCACCAGCAAAGAATGTACATTATGCTGAGTGTTCTGTAACTGCCAACATGTTAAGATTAGCTGATAGTAGTATTCAAGTCTTCATATCTTTATTTGTTAAAAATTCAGTAGTTCATTTATTTAAAACACAGATTGACAAGAAGAATAAGAGAGAAAGGAAGGAAGGGAAGGAGAGAGAGAGAGAGAATTCCAATCACTGGTTCACTAGTTAAATGCCTGCAACAGCTGGAAGGGCTTGGCCATCCTGAAGCTATCTGGGTCTCCCACATTTGTGGGACTCAAGTACTGGAGCCATCACCCACTGCCTCCCAGGTACATTCACAGGAGGCTGGATCAGTAGTGAAGAGATAACACCAACCCAGGCACTCCAGTATGGGTTGTGGGCATCCCAAGTGGCAGCTTCATTGCTGTACCACAGTGCCCACCATTCAGATCCTTATTGGTTCTATCAAACATGGAGAAAAAATGTTGAAATTGAAAACTGTGACTGTGAATTTTTTGTGTGAATTTATCAGTTTTTCATTTCAGTTCCAGCAGTTTTTGCTTCATAGAATTTAAAGCTCTGTAACTGAGTGCACACATGTGTAGAATTGCTGTGGTTATCTATTTTATCTATAATAAGAGTACTTGTCCCTACTTTGTCTAAAGTTAATATTGAGTTCAGAAATCTTAGGGCTACTGAACATTGTTTTCCATGTTTTCCTTTTACCTTTGTTTTTATATTTTAAGTGTGCTGTCTCCAGAAAGCAGATGGTTGATCATCATTTTGTTTTGTTTTATAAAGATTATTTATTTGAAAGTCAGAATTAGAGAGGCAGAGAAATAGATCTTCCATCTGCTGCTTCACTCCTCAGATAGCTGCAACTTGGCCAAAGGCAGGATCCTGGAGCTTCTTGCAGGTCTCCCACCTGGGGAATAGAAGCCCAAACACTTGGAACATCTTTTGCTGCTTTTCCCAGGCCATTAGCAGAAAGATGGATCGCAAGTGGAGCAGACAGGTCATGGACCAGCACCCATATGGGATGCTGGCATTGCTGGCCAAAGCCAGGAGTCAGGATCCAGGAGCCAGGAGCCAGGAACTTCATCTGGGTCTCCCACATTGGTGGCAGAGGACTAAACACTTGGGCATCCTCTACTGCTTCTCACAGGCCATCAGCAGGGAGCTGGATCAGAAGTGGGATTAAAAGTGGGATGCTTACATTACAGGCAGCGGTCTAACCCACCACACCAAAAAGCTATTCTGATTTTTTTTAATAATACAGTTTGACAATTTATGATTTACAATGAGAGTGTTTAATTTTATGTGCATTTAATGTAATTATTGATATGATTGAATTTAAATCTCCCTTCTTGCTCCTTGTTTTCTACTGTTCCTTTTATTTTATGTTATCCTTTTGATTTATTATAATTTTTGGAGTTGGATTTGTTTATTTTAAAATATTTTAAAAATGGAAAATTTTAAGCTAAACTTGTTTAGTCAGCACTTATAGAAATACCCTGAAGTGTTCTCCCTCTTCCCCTAGCATCCAGGAATTGAATCTTGTCTTCTGACAATACCAAAGAAGAAGAGAGTGAGGGTTACAAAGAACCTAAGGTTTGGACTAGGGTTGGACAATATTCCCTTTGAGGTGTGGGAGCTGGGTCTTTCCCTGTGGCCTGTATGCCTTTTTTCTTGACAGTTGCTTTGAGAGCGGACAGTACTCTCCTACCTCATTTTATTTTAATTTCTTGATGCATCTCAGGAGGGAACCCCTCCTTTACCTTGATATACCATACTTGATAGTTTGACAGAACAAGAAAGCATGTAGCCCTAATGATAAGAAAGGCATAGAGTTCAGAGAGAGGAAACATTTATTTTTCCTCCTTTACCTTGGGGTAAATCATCCAGCTCCAGGCTTGTTGCTGCAAGGATGGTCATAATTAATTTTTAAACAGCAGGCTCCTGCCCTCTACCTTTGGGTGAAGGAGAATATAAAGGGGCTCCCAGATGTCCCCTTGTGATCCAAGGGTTTGTGTTTTTTTTTAAGTTTGTTCATTTTGTATATACATATCCATTTAAAGCAAGGATATTATCTTTCTTTAATATGTAACTGGCAACCTGTATCTTCCCTCTTTTCTTTGCCTATATAGCTGGAGCCTTTTTTCTCATTTGAGAATCCTTTCCCTGCTGAAAAAGTTGAGAATGAAGGGCACCTCCTATTGGACCAAAGGAGAAGAGATAAATTTTACTTAAAGTTGTACACATTGTCAGTATTCCTTATTTCTTCCCCAACCTTAAGAGGGCATTTCCCTTCCCTTACTACTGATCAAATCACTGCCATAGATGAAAAAATTACCTTCACTATAAGGAAAACACACCACAAAACAGGGCTGGAAGGTAGCAGGGGTGGAAGATATGAAAAAACATAATCACCAGAAAAGCTGCCCAAACATGGCTTCCTGCTGTAGAGAAGAGTGATTTGGCCCTTAACCTCACCTGCATTTCCTAGTTCACAGAAATGTGCCTTTAGCAGGGCTGGGCCCTGGAGCTCCACTTTTTCATCTCTATATTCCTGAGAGTTTGAGAAAGATTGTATAGTTCAAAGGCTTTCAAGATACAGAAAGTAGAGTGGAGAAAAATAGAAGGATGTGTAGAAGCTGGCCAGGAGGTAGAGTATGATAGAGAGATGAGGAATTTGCGAGAAGAAGTAAATTGGAATCTCTTGTCCATCTGCTTCCAACCTTTCTTGGTCAGGGGTTTCAAAGGGTGTGCTCTTTACCATATGTAGGAAAATATTCATTGCCAAGTTATGGATGATGTTGGTCAGGGTCCAGACAAGAAGGGTTGCTGAGTAGAACCACACACAGCAGTCCTTCCAAGATGATATAGGCCAACCAGATCCCCTGTAATTCATCACTCGGGTATTTGGATTCCCTTCACTGTGTGCTACCCCACATTCATCCTGCCAGCCTCACAAGCCAGTCTGATGAAGGGCGTGGCACCTGCTTCCACTGAATTTTTATTATATTTGATCATTCCATTTTGTCTTCTCTGTTGGTTTGTTACAGTTGTTGATTTCCAATGTGAATTTTAGTTTATCACCATCTATTTTAGGTAACATAATACCACTTCATGTGTGATGTAGGAATCTTACAATACACTTCCATTCTCAGCAACATTTTCTGTACTATAATTATCACACATTTTCCTACATATGTTATAAAACCTGCACACTATTTAATATTAGTTTTGGTATAAACAATCAATTATTTTTGAAGATATTTAAAATTCAGGAAACAAACTCTTTTAAATTTAGTCATATTTACCATCTCTGGTATTCTTCATTCCTTTGGGCTGAAAAAAAATTGTACTTAGTATCATTTTCCTTTTACTTGGAAAACTTCATAATTTTTTGTAGTCTGCTCATGATGATTTTTGTGGTTTTGTTTGTCAAGTGAACTGGCTAAGCTTCAATGCAATTTTAAAATGTTCTTGAAAATTCCAAGTTTGGAAATACAAATTCTGTTTTCTTTAAAAAGTATATATCTCTATTGTATGTAAGTGTTTAATGAAGAAAAACCTCTTTCCTTATTTGTTTCTTATGCTACTGAAGTTTATAAGTATTATGAAATATTTATCAGTAGTTGTAATAACAAAATGGCTGGGAATGTATTTGTTCTCAGAGATTCAGTCTCTCCTGAATGGATATCTCTATTTTCTATATTAGGCTCAACATATGTTTCCTTCTGGTTACAATGGGACTTCTGATTTTGTAATCAAGACTTGGATTGAATCTTACTATCTTACCCAAATTTTACTAAAAGAAAAACATTAAAACATACACATATGAAAATACAAGCTTAGTGAACCTATTTAAGTTTCATAAATAGGGCTTAGTTAAGTACATTTCATTAATCAATATGCTTTATATTTAATATAAACTATCAGGATATATTTTCAACTTTGGATTCTTTGTAAGAATGATGCTCTTTTTGAAGCTCTCAAAATGCATTATATTTCTGCCAACCATCAGCAAGGTTACTTCTAGTGTTTCCGTAGTGTAATTGTTTTAACCTTGACATTGAAATTTCTTCATTTTTTTTAATTTTAAAGAATATACTTTATAAAGAATGCTTATGAAATCCCATCATAGAGTAATGGGTATTCACTTAGGTCATAGTAAAATGTCACAGGAAAAGGATCATGCATGTGTGTGTTATGTATATATACATACATATGAAATATTAGCTTGCAATGTAAGCATACTGATTGCACAATTATATGAACAGCGGTGTGTCTTCTATCTATCTATCTAATCATCTATCTATAGCTACAATATATAAAGCAAAAAAATATTTCCCATTCTAATCTGGCCCCAGCCTAAACTAGAAAACCATCATTGGTAATAAATAACAGACAATTTTCATAGCATTAAAAATGAACTGAAAGTTTCAATTTCTAACTCTCAACAGCCCATGTTATTTTAATTGTATGACCATAATTTCCTGAGGTCCAGAAAGACCTCTTGGTGTCTCTCCTTCACAGCATCAAGTTTGATATAATATAGTACCCATAGGTATAATTCCATTATCTCCAGACTTTTGTATAATTTTCCATGCTTTATTCTACATGTTTTAGGGATGTCAGTTTTGTGGTATTTTTTGGAACAGACAAAAAAAGAGAAATCTACTTACAGCCAATCAACATGACACAGATTGAAAAGATTTTCTCCGAATTGGTGTTTGGAGACACATTCCCGAATCCTACACTGGTTAAACTGCTGAAGGTAAAATAAAGTGCTGTGACGTATTTGTCTTTAATGGATGGTCCAGAACTTGAGTCACTGTCATTGTATCGTTTCCCAATTTGTTGTCCTAAGGAATCCAACCATCCAATTTTGTCAGTCAGATATGGCCTTTCTACATTCCCAATTGCATACCAAATGCAAGCCAGCCAGTGAGCAATCAGGGCAAATATGCACATTAACAGCATTAGAACAGCAGCGCCATATTCTGAATATCGGTCCAGCTTCCTGGCTACTCGCACTAGACGGAGGAGTCGAGCAGTCTTCAAGAGACCAATTAAGGTTGTTGTCTGCGGGAATAAATGTGCTAGGTCAGAAACAGTGGGTAAACAATTCAAAATTTCATTGTGTTCATGTGAAACAAACTAAGCGGAATAGATGAAAACAAGTTGATAGCATTGAGGATATCTGTCTATTTAACTGTTAAAGCTGATTCTTTTGAATAGATTCTATACCTGCTTGGTAAAATCAAAGTATACAGCTGTTAATTCAGTATCTTGGCATTCAATATCCATGAGACAGAGAATCTGTCTTGTTTTACGCTCAAACCAAGTACCTTGCACATAATATGTACTCAGTAGATCATCCATTTTTCAACATCCCAGTATGTTACTCTGTACTACAACCTGCCTCATATTTGGGTTAAGGTATTGAACAGACACAGTAACTTTTCTAACAGAGAGGTGCTTAAGTAGATAGTGTCTTCTCTGATGTTGAGAAGCAGTTATTATATTGAGGACAGGTAGATATTTTATAAACATATAAATAATAAGATAGTTTTAGAAAGTGAAAAACGCGATAGTGAAAAACACTAACAGAGTAGTGTTATAAAGGATAATTCTGGAGCATGGGTTCAGATGGAGACCATTCTAGAAAGGAGGTGACAAAAGACTTTGATGCAGAGTTTGAATCTCATTTGAGAAAGACCTGAGTAACGGGGAGTCAGTCAAGCTCTTTCTTTTCTTAAATGTGGGAACATTTATTGGAAGAATGACTATGGCTATATTTAATCACATTTTTTCTTTTTTACTACATATGTTAAATTTATAAATTATTTCTTGATATCTCAATGATAGTATAATTATACTCTACTTTGGAGTATGATATGTGTAATTAACTGCATGACTGGTATTGACCAGGTATGTAATGATAGGATATTTATCTAATAACAGGATAGTTAACTGGTTGTTTGGACTTGGAATTTGAAAAGTACAAATTACAAGTTCATTTCTTGGGTTTCCTAAATAATGTCAGATATAAGTACTATATAATTCATTGGACATATAATTATTCCATAGTTACATAGTGTTTACTGATCAAATATTGAATAATTTTATCTGTTCATTGTTTGTGTTTATTTAGCAAAGTATATACCACTGAGTTAGGAACATTTTTACCTTAATTGATGAAATAGTACATGGAATAACTTTCCCTCCAGATCTACTGATGACATAGTGAAAAAAGAGCACTAAACTTTAAGAGAAACATTTTTTTTTTTTTTTTGACAGGCAGAGTGGACAGTGAGAGAGAGAGACACAGACAAAGGTCTTCCTTTGCCGTTGGTTCACCCTCCAATGGCCGCCGCGGCCGGCGCGCTGCGGCCGGCGCACCGCGCTGATCCGATGGCAGGAGCCAGGAGCCAGGTGCTTTTCCTGGTCTCCCATGGGGTGCAGGGCCCAAGCACCTGGGCCATCCTCCACTACACTCCCTGGCCACAGCAGAGAGCTGGCCTGGAAGAGGAGCAACCGGGACAGAATCCGGCGCCCCAACCGGGACTAGAACCCGGTGTGCCGGCGCCGCTAGGCGGAGGATTAGCCTAGTGAGCCGCGGCGCCGGCCGAGAAACATTTTCTTTAAAATGTTATAATAAGTATTCTAAGTTTTTACCTTGTGCCTTAGTGGTCATAGGCAAAGGGCATCCCTCTATCACCCTTGAATTTTTTTATGTAGGATTGGAGCCTTCTAAAAGTGAGTGGAGCAAATTATGTGTTGAGTTAATAACTGAATTCCAATCTTTGATCATTTTGGTTGTAAAGAGACATAAATCTTTCTGTTTCAAGTACTGAGTTATTATTTCTCAGATTGAAATGAAGACATAATTTGTTTCCTTTTCCATAACTTTAAAAGTATTATTTCCTCTCAATGAATAAATGAATGATTAAGATAGTATCAGGTAGATTCCTGGAAAAAGGGAATAATTTGGACTACTTATATTTGTATTAGCAATATTTAACTTAGGAGTATGTGCTGATACTTTGGAACAGATGAATTCATGTTTGAATTCTGGTTCCATAAGGTGTGTCACCTTGGCAAAGTTATTCATTTTGTCTCAAGATTCAGTTTATTCATCTATAAATGGGAATAATAATGGCTATGCTACTGAGTTGTAGATAATGGTCAATAAATGGTACATGTTCATATCTTATTTAAGTATCTCCCCACTTTTCATTTTCATTGATAAGGAGGAAATTAATATTGTGAAATGGACCAATAGAGCTTCCATACTTTCTTTTTCTATGATAAGATATTTTTTAATTTATTTTACTATCACAAGTTTAATGCTCAATTGAATATAGTGTTCAACAAGCAAAAAGTAGAAAGACCACTGTTTCATGGAATATAGACAAGGGCTATAAACAATGATCAAATTATAGGATGACAATTTCACTCTTATCCATTCAGTTTCCAAATGCATTAATAGCTAAAATCTTTAGAGCAAGCCTTTCAACTCTGAAAGACAAGAACTTTATTTTGATGTACTGAATACTCAGACTCCACTAACAGGAACCATCCTGTCTTTTCTACACAGCACAGGTTCCTGTATTTATTTTTCCTCATAATTCTGCCACCTGTTTACTTGTGTTGAGAAATAAGAAATATTTGATGGTTACTATTCATTATCGTTTTGGTAACAAAATTTCTATATGAATCTCAAAATAAATGAAATATAATGACAATTCTCCAGGTAGTTTTCTCTACAAAGTGAAATGCTTCAAAATAAATGAACTGTTCTTTATAAATATTGTGATAATAAGTACTAATGACTCTTCTGACTGTTAACATGGTAAAGTGAAAATGATTTTATGCCAAGAAAAGAAATTAATGTATGTTACCTTTCTTTTGCCCTCTTCTTTTTCCTCCAAATCTCAATGTTTCTTTGAGTATTATATCAAAATTAAGATAAAACCAATAAACCTATATGACAGTAAGTTCTCCAAGGAAATCAGTCACTACAATGTGTATATGATCTTATGAAATACTATGCATGGATTTAAAATTTTTTGTACCAAAATAAACCTATCTTTTGATTTAATTTTCCACAAGCATTTTGAAGTATCTTTACTTTTTTTTTTTTTTTTTTTTTTTTTTGACAGGCAGAGTGGACAGTGAGAGAGAGAGAGACAGAGACAGAGAGAAAGGTCTTCCTTTGCTGTTGGTTCACCCTCCAATGGCCGCTGCAGCCAGCGCACCACGCTGATCCGAAGCCAGGAGCCAGGTGCTTCTCCTGGTCTCCCATGGGGTGCAGGGCCCAAGCACCTGGGCCATCCTCCACTGCACTCCCTGGCCACAGCAGAGAGCTGGCCTGGAAGAGGGGCAACCGGGACAGAATCCGGCGCCCCGACTGGGACAAGAACCCGGTGTGCCAGTGCCGCAAGGCGGAGGATTAGCCTATTGAGCCACGGCGCCGGCCAACATTTTCACAATGTATGCCTTTTAAAGAAGGAATTTTACAACCTCACAGAAAAGCTCATTCCATTATTTAACTTTTATATGATGACATTTTCATTTTGCTTTATAGCCAGCCTTCTATTTTGTTGCAATATGAGTTCATTTTCTTTTTTCTTTCACTAACACAGAAAAGTAGCAATCACATTATTGTAAACATTACCAAGCAAACGTTACATCAAATAAGCAACCATAGATAAATGAAAATTCAATGTATCCTGAAAAAACATTTAATCAAAAATTGTGTTATACCGTTTCTAGCACAATGTAGTCTATCAATCACATATAAGTGATGAATGAATGACCAACTTAAAGCACAACAATTTATTCCACTTGGGATCCTGTAGCACTCACTTGTCACACTACAGAGTTTGGAGATATGATCAAAGTTCCAAGTACAAGCAATTGGAAACTCTGCTAAATATAAGCCAGAAACCATACAGAGAAAGACAGAGCTACTTCTTGTGTAGAAGTATATGTTTGCAGAGCTTCAAAAAATGATTTGTTATTTCACATTGAACATGAATATGTCTGAGATTTTAGAAATTAGCTTTCAACAAACATATAATGTCTACGCTAGGAGCAGGTTCAGAAGGAATAGCTGAGACGATCAAAGTCTGTGATAGATGTCTGCCAGTTTTCCAAATGTTCATTCCACAATTCATCTATCAGATCTATTAAGAATTTCTGAGCAGAAATTTCTCATTTCTACTGGAATTTTCCCTCAAAGAACACTGCAATCACTGATTTCAAAGGCCTTTCTTGCTTGCATTCAGGATTCATGAAAAATAACAGTAAAATCTGAAAGGTGAGAAGTCAACAAAGCAAGTAATTAATCATAAGAATACTAATTTTCAGGGTGTGAAAAGGTTGATGAAGCATGTAACTAAGCAGGGATCTCTAGATTCAGACTGTGAATATCTATAAAATTAAGACTTACCATTAATTAGCAAAATGTGAAAAATTTGAGGCAGATAATCAAAAGCTGACTTTCTAGAAATCAAGCTAATGATATTGTTTCTTTGCTTGAATGATATTGAGATAATTTGCTGTAGGTGGCGTGATGTTTGATGATGCAAAAATTGGGAAATGGAGAATCTTTTCATTGTGTCTCTGGATGATGTTAACATTAGGAAGATATTAATGATAGAGTCAAGTTCAATGATTGCCCCTATTCATTTTCTGCAACATCCTTCTAACATTACAGAAAACTCTCTAGCTATTAGTAGGTGGTTTGCTCAAACTAAAAAATTAAGATATTATTTTGACAGATATGAGCAATTATGCTATATCTGTTTTGGTAAAAATGCATATGCTAAGAGTTATCCTTTTAACATTGTTTATATATATGTTTTTGGGTAAAATAATACGGACATGGAATTTGAATATTTTTCTTCTCTAGAGTTGCATATAAATAAGACATAAAACAATGTATTTTAACACTTAGGAAAACTGCCAAGAAAAGCATTGTTTCTTAATTGACAAAATTATTTTAATATGCTAATTTTAATAATTCAATTAAAAGTGATCAATTAACAACTCATATCTGTTTGTATTGTTTGTAGAAAATCTCCCCTCATTTGTTTATTTATATAGTTTTGAATTTATTTTACAGAAATATTAACCTATGAGTACATGAAAGTTTTCCCCTGAACTTCCCTTTTGTCTCAGATATGATCACTGGATCTTGAATATCTAAACAGCAGAATCATTCTTGACTCTTAAAAAACAGCAAGCTTCAAGGCTTTACTTCAAATTCATCAAATTTGAATCTCCTGACTCTTTTAAAGGATGCACCGATATTGGTTTATGATCCTGGATGCAGACCAATTATTGCCATAATTATATCTAATTTTTAACTTAATGAATCTCATTGTTCGTTTTTGTATTCACATATATATCTTTCTCATTGCTTATGGAGTGCCCAACATGCCTACATGCCATCTGTACTTGGATGACTAATAGGCATCTCAAAATTATGATGGCCAAAAGAGGAATTGCTCCCCCACAGAACACCTTTTTCACCCCATGTTTCTACCATCTGGATAAATGCATTATCATTTATTGAAGTTACATAGGGACTCCCTTTTTCTTTCAAGACTGTTTTTCCCCTCAATAAGAATAAATAAGCAAAAAAAGTCTTTGAATCATCCTTAAACTTGCTTTTTCTCCAACACTTACATATAGTATTTGATCCATCAGTGAGTCCTGTCATGATAGATCCTCCAAAAGCTAGCCCACATTTCTCTGCTTTCTCTTCATCTCTATGGCCACCACATAATCCAAGCTATTTTGGCCTTCCCACATTACAGCCTGGGCTTAAACCTAGTTCCCTTGTTCTTACTCTGATTATCCAGTCTACAGACAACATCCTATTCCATTTTTCCAAATGTCAATCAGATAAAGTCCTTCCAATTTGAGTTTCCAATTGTAGCCACACATACATGACTTGTTTGATCACCACTGTTTAAATGTCATAAATTCAGCAGCTTTCCCTAATAATCTTATTTGCCTATTGACTTGTTTATTCCTTCTTTTATTTTCCTAAGCTGAAATTTAACTTACTATTAGTGTAGAAATTTTAACTTTTGAAAGAGTGAGGATTAATTTGACTGTTTTATTGATAAGAGCTTATTTGGTATGTGCACCATCTTTTATAGAAACTAAAAGATAAAAGTTAATAATGAAATATTTCACTTTGTTATCTTTTAGATAAAATACAAAATTATGGCATCTATGAAAAGTTCAAATAGTTTAATAGCACTGATTTTCTTTTTGAATATTTTGCTATGAGTTTCAGATGGAAGTTTAAAGAAACACGCAAATTGAGAGGGGATAGTAATACTATTGTCTTCCTCTTATACACGAGTAAAATTAGGATTGGGGCTTTGTCTAAGGTTTGAAGAATCCAGGAAGAGAATTTTCTATTTGTTCCTTTCCCCTGCTTTTAACTAACGGCCAGTCTGTAGGAGGAAGTTTACTTTTAGTCCTATTGATTCTTGTTGGCAGAGGAGGGCTCTTGTATCTTTTTTTTTTTTTTTTTAATTTTTTGCCAGGCAGAGTTAGACAGTGAGAGAGAGAGAGAGAGAAAGGCCTTCATTCCGTTGGTTCACTCCCCTAATGGTCACTAGGGCCAGCGCTGCGCCCATACGAAGCCAGGAGCTGGGTACTTCCTGCCGGTCTCCCATGCGGGTGCAGAGACCCAAGCACTTGAGCCATCCTCCTCTGCCCTCCCGGGCCACAGCAGAGAGCTGGACTGGAAGAGGAGCAACCGGGACTAGTACCTGGCGCCCCAGCTGGGATTAGAACGTGGGGTGCTGGCGCCACAGGTGGAGGATTAACCAAGTGAGTCACGGCGCTGGCCAGGGCTCTTGTAACTTAAAAGTTTCATTGGCTGTATAGAAACTATATGAAGATGGTACGGTTAGATTTGTCTCAGAAAAAAAATCCTGAAGTATTGTTAGGCAGAGAAGGACACTGAAATTAAAGAAAAATCAAAACATTGAAGTTGCTTTTTCCAATCTTCTATACTTAATTCACATCTTCTGTAAACCTTTCCAGTATATAATTTAGGAAGATTGTATACCACAAAATTAATGGCATATAAATGGTGGGGGAGTTTAGGAAAACTAACTTCTTTTGAGATCAAAGAGCGTTTTGAGTATGTTAGGGACTGTAATATCCAGAAAATGCACTATAATATACTTCTCACATTTCCTTGAAGTCTCCAAATTTATAAGGTGTTGGGAACATACAGAAACATTTTCCCACTGGATATTATTCAGGAGCAAGAGATTTTGGACAACATATTTCAGAAAGTGCCCTCTTCTACATAATCTGAATTTAAAAAAAAAGCCACCAAGTTCCTGTTTTCCCAAACTACAATAATGAGTTCAAAAAGAAATAGACATGTTTAATGCTTGACAATTTTACATCCAAACATTCATATTTAGAGATTTTCATCCTAGAAATTTGCTGTGTGCTATGTACCACTTATTTCAAAATTTAGTTTGTTGATTAAAGGATGGAGAGTCTTTTCTATCTTATAGCAAAAATAGAAAGAATTTAAATTATTTCCAATGGCAAAATGACTTCATTTCAATTTATAGCATTTCCAAGTGAAAATGAATTTCATCTATAAGATGTAGGAAGTTTGCAAAACAATCTTTTTTTTGCAGTTAAAGTGGATTCACTTTTATAATTGCAATCTTTGAGAAAATAAGATTCTTAAGCAGCTCTTACCTCATCAGAACCTGATCCAAAAATCAGCAAGTCAAAAGGAATTGCTGCAACCATGTCAATCAGGAACCAGCCTTTGAAGTAGTGTATTGCTATTTTGGCGGGATCACTTACCACTTCTTCATTCTGATTTACATATGTTGTTCTGAAGTTTATTAGAATATCTATGATAAACATGATATCTACAATCAAGTCTACCACATTCAAAGGGCTACAAGAATAGCCACATTCTCGTCTTTTCTGCTCTTCTCTGTCATTGAGGAGAAATGCTGCAGAATAGGGAGTGAATATAGCCGTGTAAATGACCAACAGCAGAATAAGCCAATCCCAGACTGCCTTGAAGGGGCTGTAGTGCAATATTGTAAACTTGTTGATGCGTGGTGTTTGCAGTTTATATTCTGGCAGGACATCTGCTCCCAATGAGAGAACCTGAACATAGAAAAGAAAATCACACACATTATAAAAATATCACAATTTAATCTGACAAAGCTACCTGAATATTAAGGTAATTATATAGTAAAATCTGTTAGGAAAGATTCACATACTTTTAAAGCATAAAAGAAAAACATACATTTAAATGAACCCAAATAAACTCCTGTTAAGCCACATATTTGTCCCAAGAAAACCTCATTGGTTTTTCTGAATAAATATGATTTTTACTAAAAAATAATGAACATTTACATGAAATAGAACTGTTTAGTCTTTCCAACAGAGCATAGTACTTCTCAGAAATAAAAATACATGGCTGGTTTTAGACAATCATAAATTCACTTTTCATATATGAGAACCTCGGTTTTCAAATTTAGAAAATGATGACTATAATGAATAGAAGCAGTCTATTTGAATCCATGACCATATTTAATTCACATATATTTAATTGATAATTAAACTTTGATAAATTAAACTCAACTCATTCAAATATTTAATTAAGCAGAATTTTCCCATCTGCGATCTGGTTTCAACATCAGGGGGAAGAAGACAAATGAGATTAATAGAAACACACGAAAGTCTTTTTCTTAAAGAGTTGAAAGAATATAATTTGGCACAAACATACTTTAATAAAACTCTTCCATCACACCTAGAGCGCAATAAAAGGAAAATACTGCAAGATGCTCAGAATATGGATCTGGAAATATTGCAGGATTTTTAGTCACCAAGGTTGTTCTTAAATTCTAAAATTTATTCTGCCTAATAAAACATTGGGTAAACTAAAATAATTCATATTTTTAGAGTCTTAATTTATTTGACAAAATGAGAGCTAAACTTGAGTCATGTCCCTAACATCATGAAAAGTGCTTGTGATTTTAAAGCAAGTTCTAAAATCACAGATAAATGCAAAAGGTTATCCAGCTCCCCAGTAAATGGAGTTAGCCTTAATACATGGGATACAGAGAGCCAGATTTTTTTAAAGGTTTATTTTATAATTATTTGAAAGGTAGAGTTACAGGGAGAGAGAGAGAGAGAGAGAGAGAGAGAATCTTCCATTCACTAGTTCACTCTAAATAGCCTGGGCTGGGCCTGGCTGAACATAGAAATGAGAAACTCCAACCAGGTCCCCCACGTGGATGCAGGGGTCCCAGGACTTGGGCTATCTTCTGCTGCTTTCCCAGGAACATTAACAAGGAGCTGTATTAGAAGTGGAGCAGCCACGATTTGAACCCATGCTCATAGATGCCAAAGTTGCAGGAGCGGTTTAACCTGCTGCACCACAATGCCGCCCAACAGCCACTTTTAGAAGAATATATGGGTTACAGTCTTACACCGTGAATATCCTATGCATATACAATGTTCCCATTTCAAAGTTAATTTCACTAAGTGCATTTTCTTAGACTATTCTAAAGATAGCTAATACCTGCCATCTCGGCAGTGTGGATCTCAGATAATCCCATTGGTTAGTCAGAGAGTATTGTTTGTGCATTTTATGTAATGTCATCCATGTTGATTATAATTTGATTACAATAGTAAATTATTTCAGGGAAATTTCTTTTTTTTTTTAAGCTCCCTTCCTATTCACCATCTTGGATCTCCCTCTTCAGTACTTATTATAAATTGTACATTTCATCTGGTACCCTAAATAATTGGGACTGTAAGTGTTTTGGGTTTTAGATTTTTTTTTCGGGTTTATTTTTTTTTAACTTTCATTTAATGAATATAAATTTCCAAAGTACAGCTTATGGGTTACAATGGCTTCCCCCACCCCCATAACTTCCCTCCCACCCGCAACCCTCCCCTTTCCCGCTCCCTCTACCCTTCCATTCACATCAAGATTCATTTTCAATTCTCTTTATGTACAGAAGATCAGTTTAGCATATATTAAGTAAAGATTTCAAGTTTGCACCCACATAGAAACACAAAGTAAAAAACACTGTTTGAGTACTAGTTATAGCATTAAATCACAATGTACAGCACATTATGGACAGAGATCCTACATGAGGAGTAAGTGCACAGTGACTCCTGTTGTTGACTTAACAAATTGACACTCTTGTTTATGGCATCAGTAATCACCCTAGGCTCTTGTCATGAGTTGCTAAGGCTATGGAAGCCTTTTGAGTTCACCGACTCTGATCATATTTAGACAAGGTCATAGTCAAAGTGGAAGTTCTCTCCTCGCTTCAGAGAAAGGTACCTCCTTCTTTGATGACCTGTTCCTTCCACTGGGATCTCACTCGTGGAGATCTTTCATTTAGGTCATTTTTCTTTCTTTTTTTTTTTTGCCAGAGTGTCTTGTCTTTCCATGCCTGAAATACTCTCATGGGCTTTTCAGCCAGATCCACATGCCTTAAGGGCTGATTCTGAGGCCAGAGTGCTGTTTAGGGCATCTGCCATTCTATGGTTCTGCTGTGTATCTCGCTTCCCATGTTAAATCGTTCTCTCCCTTTTTTATTCTATCGGTTAGTATTTGCAGACACTAGTCTTGTTTATGTGATCCCTTTGGCTCTTAGTCCTATCATTCTGATCAATTGTGAACAGAAATTGATCACTGGGACTAGTGAGATGGCATTGGTACATGCCACCTTGATCGGATTGAATTGGAATCCCCTGGTATGTTTCTAACTTTACCGTTTGGGGTAAGTCAGCTTGAGCATGTCCCAAATTGCACATCTCTTCCCTCTCTTATTCCCACTCTTATATTTAACAGGGATCACTTTTCAGTTAAGTTTCAACACTTAAGAATTACTGTGTATAGATTACAGTATTCAACCAAAAGTATTAAATAGAGCAAACAAAAAAAATACTAAGAGGGATAACATATTAAGTTGTTCATCAACAGTCAGGGCAAGGGCTGATCAGGCAAATTTCAATTTTAAATCTTGTTTTTATTTTCAAACATCATTTTCCCACCCTGTACAATGAAATATCACTTTCATCTTAGGGAATATTCCCAAACAAGAAACAAAATAGCTTTTAAATATAACAGAGGTATTTAGCTACAATAGTCAAGAATTCAGATAACAACTAAATTGATTTACACAAACATAATACAGGGGCAGGTATTGTGGCCAAGCACGTTAAGTCCCTACCTGTAATGCTGGCGTCCTATATCAGAGCACGGGTTTGAGTCCCAGCTGCTCTGCTTTCTATCCAGCTTCCTGCTAAGGTACCTGGGAAAACAGTAGAAGATGCCCACTTGGACCTCTGCCACCCAGGTCGGAGACATGGATGGAGTTTCTGGCTATTGGCTTGAGCCTGGCCAGCCCTAGCTGTTACTGCCATTTGGGGAGTGAACCAGCAGATGGGAAGTCTCTCTCTCTCTCTCTCTCTCTCTGTCTTTAATACCTTGCCTTTCAAATAAATAACAAATATTTTTAAAATATTTTAAAAAATAAAGAATCGGACTTGAGCATTAGTCAATCCAGAGTAAATTTAAATGAACAAGCTTATGGAGGGGACTGGGATTTATTTTAAGTTGTCATGAGAAATGTCAAGAGCTGATCACTAACAAAAGAGAAATCTGGAAAATAAAGTAATTTTATTATTTTTGAAATATTTAAAATCCTCAGAAACAAAGACATACATATGCTTCTAATTATAAGACTTCTAAAATCAAAATAGGAATAATTTTAGATTTTTTTCATGGGACAAGTAAAGAGTAATAGAACCTCAAATACATTATGTTTCATATATACTTCCAGAGTGAATTTTGGTCTGGAACAAATCTATTATTTTTCAAAGTGTCATTATACAATATTCCTTTCTCAAAAAACCAGGGACTACTCAGTATGTAGAAAGTAAAATCCGAATCCTTATTTTGGCTTACCAAGTCATCTATAATACAGACCTATTCTCTCTCCAGTTTCCTTTCTCATTAGATTCCTCTGTGCACACAAGGTATTCTATCAAAACAGGACTAAAGTTTTGAGCTGTTGATAGCTCCCAAATCCACATATTTCTCTTGTAATAAAGGGCATGTAGTGATCAAAAAGATTAAATAAGTCATTTTAAAGACAGGCATTTTTGGGGCCGGCCCCATGGCTCACTTGGTTAATCCTCCACCTGCAGCACCGGCATCCCATATGGGCGCCGGGTTTTAGTCCCAGTTGCTCCTCTTCTAGTCCAGCTCTCTGCCATGGCCTGAGAGGACAGTGGAGGATGGCCCAACTTCTTGGGCCCCTGCACCCACATGGGAGACCAGGAAGAAGCACCTGGCTCCTGGCTTCGGATTAGTACAGCGCTGGCTGTAGCGGCCATTTGGGGAGTGAACAAATGGAAGGAAGACCTTTCTCTCTGTCTCCCTCTCACTGTCTATAACTCTACCAGTGAAATAATAATAATTAAAAAAAGACAGGCATTTTTATTTGAGCTTGTTCATTGCATTAGTGATAAGCTTCTGATACCAATTTCCCATAAAAGGGCAATTAAAATACCTGTGTTATCACAAGTATGAATAGAATACATGCAGCACCTTGGAACTTCAGAGAAGTAAACATATGGGCTGAAACTCTCTCCATCCCATATAAATAAACACTGATTTAACACTTAGAGGACCAATGTGCTATGAGATGGAGCCTGAAAAATGGGGAAGACACCATCCATGACATCATGGAGTTTATCATCTGTTTGGAAACAGATATGCAGTAAAATGGGAGCCCTGTGGAGAGCCACTTCACTTAGTGCCAGGGGTTGGTGGTGGTAGTGATGAGGGATGGGGATGGTCTCCATAGAGAGTTTCAGGAAAAGATGGTAGCTGAATTGAGACTCTGAGCATGCTTAGAAGAGAACACAGTTGGAGAACAAGGAAGTTGGGCAAGAAAGGACATCATAGGTAGAGTGGACAGAAGAACAAGAATAAAGAAGTACAGTACACTACATTATGTGTTAAGGGAGTGTAAGCAGCCTTATATTTTGCTGAAGAACAAAATGTAAGAGAAGCAGTGATGAAGGCAGCAATGGAGAGGGCCAAGTCCAGGCTGCTGGAAGTCCAATGTGAC